CCTAATACTAAAAACTACCTGCCGTGTTTTGTATTAGGGGGGGGGGTTTAGTATTAGGAGGAAGGGATTATATACATATAGATATAGATATACTATTGCCAAAACAAAAAATAACAAAATGCTATTTTTCTATGTATTCGGAGAGTCTAGGTAGATCTGATCTTCATATATTCCTCTTCTCCAAGCCCGTGCGGTCATGTCTCCTGCGCATCCTCCGGAAGATAGACATATTTGCCGCTCATGGTGACATCGCTCACCGGTCGCACCGGTCGAAGAAGCGGAGGAATCAGTAGTTTTGCTGTAGAAACACGTGGCTTTGGCTTTGGCCAGAAATAGGGTGTATAGTTATATGTGTATATATATACACCATGATATACAATATGATTAATATAGCCTATAGCACAATTACCAGTTTAGTGTCAAAAAAGTGATAAACCATGATAAACCATGACAAAGCATGATGAACCATTGGATTTGGGGCAGGTGCCCTGTGAACAATCTTGGGGATCCGCTCCCGATCACCCAGATCTGCATCGATTTTCGATCTGCATGGAGTTGCAAGGTATATGCCCTGCCAAAAACGACCGCTATGGCCAAGCTTGGCGAGGAACATTCAAGTCATAACTTCCGCAATTCTGCAGCCAGTTAAAGAGGCTTAAACAACTTCTGTGGCAGCGTCCATGGCGATAGCCGGATGGCCCAACCGTACGTTGCAGGCGGGCATCTGGACGAAGTCTGCAAGACACTACGCTTAATGAGACGACAGGCTGTGTCTTCTGAAGTCCCTTTCAAACGTATAAGATCAGCATCAGCCAAACGCTGGGAAAGCCAAGTCGAAATGATAAAAACCATCCAGGTTTTTTTTGGCAAACGCAAGCACCGTATCAGCATAGAATATGGTTGAGAGGTAGTTGAAGTTGACCCATGCTTACCTAAGAGATTGGATCTCCCAAGAATGGATAGAAAGTACGCAACAAAAAAAATGAACCGGTCATGGACAGGGCAGCAATAAATTTGTTGAAACCAAATCATGTGCCACCCTCGGATAATATAACATGGCTACCGACAATTCCCATTTTATATGCATGCACGTAGTACATGTACATTGTAGATGTACATGTACAATGCGTTCCTTTCGGTACACTCCCTACCACTTTCTGCGGAATGTCTTAGGACCTCAAAAAAATGTAGCAGAGATTTCTTGGGGATACATGAGGTGCATGATGTGTATAATATATTCATAGAACCTACCACAGGATCATTAAAAAAAAAACAGAGTGAGCACCATCAAACACGTATTCACGTTCGGATCATGCTGTGAAAGTGACTCTACTTCACTCTCATTGCTACCACATCAGTTTCGACTTGTGCACGATGGACGTTCTTGGAACAGTCCGGTCTTCAGGTGCGCTGCAATGCCATCCGTAGTGAGTATGGGTGGCAGTGTGCTCTTGCACGGAGAAGAAACCTTTGAATTTGCATTTGGCTTATCCTAGATCCAATGTCCAGCTGGGAAGGAAAAGGATATGATGTATATGTATTTATATATATATAGATAGCTGGAATATACAGGTCCCTTTCCCTGTGAATTATCATTATTTTGCTAATTCAAAAACACACATTCTGGGGTGTACTCCATGGACAAAGCCATATCTTTCATGTTTTCTCGGAGAAACACATTCATCAAACATCGCCGTGCTTGATTACCAAGGGCTGTTCTTGGATACCGCGAAGATCTCGCATAGCTGCTTCGTCTATGTGCCCATTCGCCAAACAAAGGCTTGGTGTACCCATCTAGCAACATCTACAATGTGGGGCCCCCAGGATAGCTAAGTTGGTTTATAACTCCAATAACTATGGTTTATGGTACTTACAACTATAGTTAATGGGGTTTATAAACCAACTTATAACTGGGGGGCCCCACATTGTAGCAACCAATGGTCGACCCAGAAAAGATCATGCCCCCCTTTTCTGCACTTGAGATCTGAGGACTTGCCGACTCTGTGCTTGAAACATTGACCACCTGGACCACCTGGGCCCCAGGAGCGAGCTACTGCATGATCCAGAGACGCAAGTGATGCCATGAGGAAATGCCATGTTCTGCCCGAAGAAGTTACATGGGATTATGGATTAGGATGGATTAGATGATTTTAGCATGGGTATACTGTAGAATAGAATGGTCATCCCTGAAATTAGGGAATCCTTAGTCAATATAATTCCCGTGAATCGTATGCCTGGAGGTGTGACCATCCCGCATTCCCCCAATATCGGTACATAATCCAAGTTCTGACGGAATCCTGCGCGAGCGAAGTCGCAGCACCAACGCCCCTTCCCGGTTAAGGGGGGTACGAGGTGTCAGAAGGGTAGTCCGAGAATGAAAAGAGAGGGTGAACCATGAAACTGTACAACGCGGATCAAGTCAAGCATAACTGCAAGCGGTTGACACACGGCCAAGGCAAGCACTCTGCAAAAAACCCGTGGTAAGCAAGGAGGTCAACGACAAGCCAAGCAACCTCAACTTTGGGAAATTTTCATTGGTCTCAGGGCCACGTCAAGATGACACAAGCAAAACACGCCGTAAGGACGACAACGGGCAAAGCCACATGTTGGGTCAAGGCACAAGTCAAACTGGGAACACATTACCTGTCATGAGTTCATCTCTTCTCTACCGTTTTCACTCTTGAGCGTCTTTGGCGGATTTTCTTTGTTCTGTAAGAGCCAGGAGCCATCAAGATGCCACCAAAAGTCATGTGGAAAGCCAACACGCGTTCATGGTCAACATCCAAGGCAAGACAAGTGAAGATGGGAAACTCCAACCCTGGCAAGAATCTCGAAGCATGGCTCCACTCCGAGAAACCACTGCAGAAAAGTGCAATGACCTGGTGCAATCCATCGTCGCGACCTGTGCGACATTCTGGGGTCGGCATCACACCATCTCCATCAGAGGACACATCCAGCAGGTCAGCAAAGACAAATGCCTGAAGACAAAACACGGATTTGCAACCTTCAACAGCACACGACGACTGGTCCATGGTGACCATCAGCAAGTACCTGTCTGTCACATCGTGAGGGCACCTTCTGCGTGTCAACCAAAGTGACCTAAATTGGTCCCGAACCAAGCTGTGGCGAGAATCCACACGGCAAGCCAAGAAGACACAGGACGTGCTCATCAAAACAACTTCGAAGTCAGTCAAGATGCAAGTCACTCGGTAATGGCATGGGCTCGCAACAGGCGACAGAGCGAGGTACTTCATCATTTGGAGGAATAGCTCAGAAGTTAACTCCATGGCTCAATTGGTGAGGCGCCACGCCACCCCTCCCACCTCGCTTCGAGGAAGCTTGAGCCTTGAGGCTATCCAAGTTCTGACCATGGCACATTTATATGTTTTTTTCTCTCAAAAATGGTATCCCTGACTTGCTTTTTCAATGATAGCTGATGATCATCTGTCGGATTAATACTGACACATCAACATTCCAATCATTCCACACCCATTTGGGTCTGGGTCAATACCTATTCAAGGATGGGTCAACATGTCTATTTTTGCTGAAGACCCTGTGCTGAATCGAATGGGATGGGCCAGAATGATAGCATTGATAGCACGGAGGACGAACATCCAATCCATCTGCACCAGCCATTTTGATATGAACTGCATGTACCAGGGTTTTGGATGGTTTTGGTCCATACATGAGCCATGAAAAATAAGCCTATCCCACCCCATTATACTAATTGGTCTATAGATTACCCCCAATAATTGAGCTAGAAAAAGTCCCCAAAATTCACCAATCAACCAGGGCATTTTCAATAAAATCCATAGGGATCTACAAAGACCTGTCGGGTCACTTCCCAGCCGCGAACTTCAGCGAAAAGCCATGGGGAAACCCATTCGGAACATGATCTTCAAAGGTGGATTATGTTAGTTTGGAGGGATAAATAGGGGTGCCGCAATAGCTGGATGGTTCATAATGGAAAATCCCATTACAATTACAATGGATGATTTAAGGGTACCTCCATTTTAGGAAACCTCCATATTATTTATATCTCAGTAAATTAGCTGTTCAAACGATGTTGGGTCATGCCATTGATATTCTTCACCCGTCCCCATCTTACAAGTATATAAATAGTTTCTATGTACAGTTTTCCCATGTTTTCCCATTGAAGCCTCCATTTGGCAACGTCATCAGCTGCAGTAGCCGGCCCCGCAAGTTCCGTGGACAGTGATGAGAGGTGACCCAACAGGGTTTTGATATATGAAAATGAAAGGACTTGACGAGACTCTAGACAGTGCAGGTCAGAAATTCATGGATTTGAATGGAATTGAATGGAACAAATCAATAGTTTTATAATAGTTTATCTTGTCAACAAAGCTTACAGTCATTGATATCGACAAAACAAGTGATATCAGCCACTACCACCCATGCAGAACACACTCCGCGAATGCTGAACCTCTTTTATTGAACGCAAACAGATCAAACGTGACCAAACTACGAGATATAGTGATACAGTTATCAAACTACGATACTTTGTGGGCCAGCTTTGGGGGTTGATCATTGGCACATTCTAGGAACACCTCCCACAAATCCACAAGCAAAACAATGAATGCATGCTCCGACATGCGGTGTCACAGAACTGAGAATAAACACTGTACTCAAAAGCCACTAGGCTGAGCTAGGTGGACTCAGACAATCATATGTGCCAGAGTGTTTCTTTCAATGGGGTCTTCTATCATCCCATTCAATGTTCGTTTTGATGCAAGATAACATATCCTGGAAACCATGGTTTAAACTCCAAATTATCTATAAATATCCAGATTGGACCATTGCAATAAATCTATAGTGTTGTGAAACCACTAGACGATTACCTCATTGCCCCTGGCACACATGTAGACTGCCAGCTGAACGGTCTACAGAGATACACTGGTCGATCACAGGGAGGGAGGTTTTTCCCGCTGGGCGTGTGCCCAATTTTCAACCAAATGAGCAGCGCTCAAAACACGTACTGTCATTCCATGAAGTACTGGTTGGCCAATAGGGGTTCCCAGTTCATGGATTCTGATAATCCCAGTATCAGCAACCAACAGGGCTGACTCAGCTTGTACAGCCGCTGATGTTATGCATCCAAATCAGACATAGCCTTTGTTCAGTTTCACAACCTGGAAGCTATGCGAACGGCAAGGTATTTATTTCTGCGAGGACATGTGTATCAGATTGTATCAGAGACTCTGCAACGCTAGCGGTGAAAATTGGCAAAAGCAGATCCGAACTGGTGTTGCCAGTTCACGGCTTTCATGGAACTGCAGATCTTATGGTGAGTTCATCAACAAAAATGGCGAGTTTATTTGACAGACATGGACAGTAAGGATAAAATGGAAATGGACATCCAAACACCATTCAAAAATCATCCAAATGGAACTAAGAAGGTAAAATAGAAAAGCTTTAGCGAAAGAAAGGGTAAAAGGAATATTTGGAAAAAAAACACCTCAGACAACAGTTGGACACAATAGAGGACCACCACAACAAACACATTAATTAATTTTTGAAGATCAATCTTGCTGATGGGTCACAACCTTGAAAAATTGTTTGGGTGCTGTCTTGTGGGTTTTAACTGTGCATTTAATGAGGAGCTTGCTATATTTTTTTGTATGTTCAAAAACACGTTGCAAGTATTCGCTAAATAATTGATTGATTGATTAATTAATTACGTGTTTTCAATAAAATTAAACAACTCCAAAAGTGAAAAACATGAAAAAAAACAAAAAGCTGAAAAAATGTATCAAAAAAAAACTTGCCACAATACCGACTCACCCCAGCAATTCCACGGGGTCAGAATTATTTTGGGAAAACTTGACACAATACACTATCCCCACACTAATCGGGATACCACATTAATTGTTTAATTTCTCTGTTCCAATTACACGGAAATCGAAACATCATCCAAGAGTTGCCATGTTTCATGGGAGCAAAGATTTAAAAACCACCTCCATCTCCAGAAACACTCTTAAAAGTCACCAACAAAACGGCCACGAGGCCTCTGCTCTTTTTAGCCTCCCGCTCACGCAGTTAAGCTTCAATAAACCCAGTTGATGATTACGAGAGGTTGTACTACCCAAGTTTTGAGGGTGTGTAGATTTTATTTATAAATATATATAGCACGGGCACAATATCATATTATAATATATATATAGATATGTATATACATATAATTATACATAAATAGTATCATATAGTACACTTCTATAGACATTTATATTAAAATCTATGAACTGCGTTAAGCCAGCCCCTATTCACCAAAACCAGAAAATTACTGTAGTCTTGTCAAGCTGACCGTCTCAACCTGCGTGTATACCATATACCTAGATATCATATATGTTCAAAAAAAACAGGGTGTGTAGCAGTGGAGTCTTTTTTTAATCAATGGATTGGTTTAAGGGAAAATTTAAACCGGAAAGCCCCATATTTAATGGGAAAATCTATGGTTTCCGGTTAAGATTTTCCCAACAAAACCAATCCATTGATAAAAACAGCAGCCATTGGTCCTTCTATGTCCTTCATAACAGCAGACATTTCTTGGTTACGAAGCTCTTTGACCAGCTTTCAGCTTTCTAACCACGCGGTTGGCGCTTCTTGTGGCAGCCACATCCTGGTTGTTCATTGGTTAAAGCCCCGCAAATTCACACTCTTGCCATCAGTCTGGCTGGTTATAAATCCTACTTTTGATAGTGAATTTCCCATATGTGATGGTTGAATCATTTTACCCTCTGGTAAATTAACATAGACCCTGGCAGATGGGGGTTGGAAGACTAGTTTCCATTGGAAATTGGTAATTTTCAGGGTCTATGTTTATTTACCAGAGGGTAAGTCCCAATTTGTTGTGGTTGAATTCCTCTTTTTGATGGTTTCTCCGGTCTTGATATCACCATCTGCCCATCTGCAAGTCCACATCACCTAATCCACGCCAAAAGCAGGTGCGACGTGGCGACGTGCTCTGACGGAGTGGATAACCAACTGGATCATCGGAGAGAAGGCCTGCGAACATGATGACTGCAGGATACTGCAGGAATCCGAATTTCTGGCAGTCCTAAAGAAAGTATACATTGTCGTGTTTACATCTATCCGTCCGAAGCGAAGTGCAGAGGCATCCTTCTCGAAGTAAAAGTGCCAAGGGCAAATGCGCAATTTGGCCCATTTCGCTCAAGCCACGATTCCAGATAATGACGAGCTTGGGCCTTAAAAGAAAACTAGTCAACAGATCTGGACCATGAAGGTTCCCTGATTTTAGCATATGTTTTATCCACATTCAAGGGAACAAAAAAAGGCAAACAATGGTGACATGAGCAGTCATTGATTTTTGACATCGTAACAATATATATATAACATGTATATATATATATTATCATATATTGAATAAAATAATGTAAATATATATATATATGTAATATAATATATATAATATAATATATAATATAATATCTAATACAATGTATACATATATATATATATATAATATTATATATATATGATATATATATTATATTATACATAATATTATATAGTATATACATAGTATTAAATAGTATATATATATAATATTTTATATTTATATATAATATTTATCATATTACATTTTTATACAAATATGTATATAAGCAATAAACACTAATAATCAGAACTTTCGATTTGATTCACACATATCTGGGGAACCCATGGTCTCTTTCTTCAACCTCCATGGGGCCGGCGATGTACTCAGCTACAGGGCGAGAATCACAGATTGGCAGGGCGAGAATCCTTTCGGCCTGGCGGAAATCCATCTAGAAATGGATGACAACTGGGGGGAAACACTGGGGGTATACCTCCATAAAATGGAAACCCCCCAAATATCTCACATTTCTGTACATTTCTATACATTTCGTGATTTGTCCATTCGGGATTTGAATGGTATGATTTAAACATATTTAAACAATACTTTGACCATGTATTTGTTTTTCCGGGTCATGATTTTTCAAGCAGCTTTGGGTGGATGAAACCCCTTCATCCAAGCCCGGTCATGTTTCACCACCCCGGCAAGAAAAGATAACAACGCTGCACCTCTTTTGTATATATATGGATGTTTCCTAAAATGGGGGTACCCCGCAACCATCCATTTTAATGGAATTGTCTTTATTAACCATCCATTTGGGGGTACCCCATTCTAGGAATCATCCATATATGTATACAGTATAATATATATATATATACATAATATGTATATATGTATGTATACACATACATACATAATATACATATACGTGTAATATCCCGTTATCATATGGTCAAAGAACAAGTGTCTTCGTTAAGTTGTTGGCTTCCCATTCCGGACCTTGTTTGGATGGGAAGGACCTCGGTAGATTTCAGCAGCAAGGCGCTCCTGGAGTGATGTAGATGGATCTTCAATGATCTTCATCCCCCTAAAAGTGTATTATTGTGTAGAATAATCGTAAGAGTAAAAATAGCTATAGTAATAATAATAGTAATAATAATCATAGAGTAATAATTAATAATCATATTAAGTATATAATATATTAATAATATTCTATTGCTGACCACAAAGCTAGAGAAAGGTATTGAGGACCATCACCCTGGGTAGCATCAACAAAAAAATCATCAACCAAAATTGTAAGTGAAGGGCTTTAAAATCAACCGAGGTAAGCCACCGAGAGACTCAGTCTTTGATCTCTGTTGAGGGTCTGTTAGGGTAGGGAATGCAAGGTGACACACAATGTACACATGTTGGACGAATGAGACGAACAGTCTGACTTACTGATTTCACTGTTGAACATCTTGCTGAATATCCAAAGCATGTTGAAAAACTGATGTCCCTTGCCACCTTTCTACAAAAAATAGCCATCACAAAATATCAAACATTGATGTGTTTTGCAGAACCCATTTCTTTTCGGAAACATAGTGATGACCTTTTCTGAGTTTGCACACTTGGTGGTTCACCCCAGGAATCGTAACTGGCTTAGTTCCCCTCAGCCCTCACTTAATAATTGGACATTGCCCCAACTTATATTTTTGTTGGCGTTACTCCCTGGCTTAACATAGCTATTGAACATCACCACCAAGTGTAACAACTGGAGGCTCCTCGTCTCAGGCACTTGGAGCTCAGGTTGAGCCTCCTCCAAAAAACAGGCGGCGAGGATGTCAAACGCCTATGAAAACCTTTTTTGGTGAAACACATGTAATATCATGTAATGTTGAACTAAAAGGCGAAACAAAAACATAGGAAACACTAAAACTAGACTCACCAAAGAAAAACGAAACAAGAACTATCAAGAACTAATAGGATTGCAATTTGGAGAACCATTCGATTCAGAATATCTGGAACTCTACGGTAACTACATTTAAATATACGGATTTTTTAATATACGAACAGGTATTTTAGACTACCTCCGGGAAAGTTTTCCTTGGCCCGCCCGGTCATTTAAACATACGGAATCCAAGTCATTTAAACATACGGCAACTACATTTAAATATACGACCTGGTATTTCATACTACCTCCGGGGCCTCGCGGTCTGGCCCGCCCTCCACATATTTACATATCGTTACCGTAGATCTATCAAATGCCTTGAAATGCTCCCCACGGCAATCCATGCACCTAATTTAAAATATGCAATGACTCTAGACAACAATAAGCCGAACATGGACTTACTTCACTGACTGTATCCCAGAAGAATCTGCAATCTGCAGTTGGGCACTGATGGATCCCTCTGCTTTCTTCGTCTGCGCGACCCTAGGGTCGCAACCGCGCCTTATCTTGCAGAAAGTTCATTGCATCGACATACATGCTCATCCTCAAGAAGGAAGGGTGGACTTTGATGGGCGACAAGGTTTTGCGTTAGGATCCATTGACCGTGGGGGAATCTGGGGTATCAAATGGCATAAGTCCAAGTATATGTTAAGCCTTTACTCACCAGCTCACCGAAAAAGCCTTGGTTGGTGAAGCCCACATCTTTGATGATGAGCTCTCCATGTTTTGGTGTTCATTATAATATTCAATCATGTGAATCATGTGATAAACCCAGTAAGAAGCCATCCCATTCACCAATCATTTGGGGCTTCATATCATCCCATGTCTACGGCTATGCGGCTATACCAAATGTCATAAACCTCAACTTGGGGATGGCCACCCAGGCCGCATTCACCAGTGCCATCGCAAAACCCAAGTCGCTGAAGTCCGATGCTGGCGTGAAGCTTTCCCAGTCGCATCGTCCACTCATCGTAGGTGTAGACCTTAGGGACTGGATGACCGATCAAATGGAGACAGGAAACGGAGTCTCGGTCATAGCATATGATAGTTACAGTACACATGATATTAAGGTAAACATGATATAATTCATTATTAACAATTAATTTATATATTTATATGATATTCTATGGTAGTCCGACACTTGTATAATATATCAATATCTACAGTTATCTACAGTATAATTATCTATACGAGTAGGAACTTGTCCATGGGACACAGCTCATAGCAAACCAGTGCCAAAGTACTTCAGTTCACCATTGAATTAGCCCCACATAGCAATGTAGCATTGTGTAGAATTGCTATGAATTGCTCATGTTTCTCCTTTTTTTGTAGATGATTCTCCCATAAACATTAGGATGTTCCCACCGACCATCACCAAGGCGCAATTTTCACCTGCACAAAAGGGGGGTTTTTCGCTCGAGACTTGATATAATCGTTCATCTCCTGACAAGTCTCAAATAATTCAAATGGCTGTGGCCCTGATAGCCATGCTCCAGATTCTTGGATGAGTTTTTTTTTGGTTGTGGCTAGTTTCATAAAATAGATGGCTCAATCCAACAATGGAAATTCAACCCGATTCAAACAGCCAACTATTGGATATAGACCTCCAAATTGGGTGGTCTAATACCAACTTATGAGACATGATCAGTTTATATCACTTTAGTGGGTATCCGATGGTATCCTTTTCTTAAACTTTTCCAGGCAGCCTTTTCTCGAGCTTGGAGGGTTTCACCAAGCCGCCATGATGGAGAATGACCCATCGGAGAATGGGATATTATATGATACCCTCCAGTGAATTAACATAGACCCTGGCAGATATGTGTCGGAAGATTAGTGTCCATTAAAAAGTGGTCGAACTGTTCAGGGTCAAAGTGTTAATTTACCAGAGGGTGATCTTGTTATATACTGGTTTGTGGTTGACCTACCCCTCTGAAAAATGATGGAGTTCGTCAGTTGGGATGATGACATTCCCAAATATATGGAAAAATGTTCCAAACCACCAACCAGTAAATATAAATATATATATATAACCATGTTGTTGTTTGGTCAAGGATCTGAAAAATATGAGTTCGCTAGTTGGTGGTTTGGGATGAAAAAAAAACAATGGATTGGTTTAGGGGAAAATCTATAGGAAACCATGGGTTTCCTATAATCTAGTATAGGGGTTTCCTGTAAATTTTCCCATCATCTAATTCGGTGAAACATGTTCCAAACCAACAAGAAATATAGATCCTTAAGCCATCCCTGGGGAGTCCATGATCACTTGGGGTACCGACCTGGGGTACTCTGATACTGTCCGGTCTACACCAGGTTGCAGCCTTTCAGGTCCAAAAAAGAACCGAAGTCCTAACAAAAATGGATAGACACTTTCCACATGGATTAAACAAACTTTCCGGTCCAAACGGACAAAAGCTCTCCAACAAACCAACCCTCAAGCGATCCGGCGTCCCATCCTCCTGAGTCTGGACCAACTTTTCTCCAACGGTCCAGCCCTTGGCCAGGGTGGTAAGACAAATTAAATCTGGTAATCTTGTACATACCGGTACATTTGTATATATCTGTATATATATATACACTAATATATACGTATGTTGTTTTTGCTACCTTTATCATTAATACAATTTTCACTATTGTTGCTATTTAATAATATTGGTATTATCATCATATGTATTGTAATTACAAAATATATTTCACATACATACATACACATATACATATATACATATATATATTTACTTAATATTTCATTAGATGCTAGGTGCTAGAACACAAACCGGAATCAATACTATTTTGGATAGCTTCCCCCACAAACAAGAAAAACAACATCCTGAATCATCTTTAACCACACCTGCGCCTGAGTCATGGACACTTCTAGGCTTTGTCAAATCCTGGACTACAGTAATACTTTGGAACCTTGTGTGCTTTGTCTGTTTAGAGCCTCCAAAAGCCATGGGGTACCGAGTCAAAATGACTAGTAACTCTTGCCAGAAGTATCCACCTGTGTCATTGATCTGCCAAATAAATCCAAATAACACCTTGGTTCCGTGTTAGTACTTGAACACCTTCTGTCCTGCCCGGAACCGGTCCAAGTCAGATAAACCGCTGGCTTTTAAAAGCATTCAATCCCGGTACACGGATATATCCTCTGCTGATTTCCCTATGAAACTTGCCCCTTTTCCATGGCTACCTGAGAATAGCCATGATAAAGCCCAACAAAACAGCAGCAGGTTTTGGTCACATGCCCTGCCAAGATTCCATGGGGCACAAGAAGAAATCGTCGAGGACCTCAACAATGGCGAGGATGGTAAAATATGGGTGATGTGAACAAATTATTTAATTGTGTGGGATGCTTTGGGTTGGTGTTTTGGATGTGAATCAATGTGTAAGTGCTAGTTTGGAATGGTGGGATGATGTGATCCAATGGTGAACTGACAGTTTGGGTTGGGCTTAGATGATGTGAATCAATTCTGGTGGTTCTGGACGTGGTTTCAGCAACAACCCAGACTTGAAAGGGATTATCACTAAATATAGGATTTCCTCAAGATCCCAAACAACCATTACCAAAATCCACAAATTAAACCGTGGTTGATCGGTTGATGACATCCATTCCTGGTTCCCAAACCATCAGTCCACTAAAACCTCACTATAGTGGCTTGGTTTTAACTATTGATTGAGCAAAATCTCAGAAACTGTGTCTGTATATATATATATATTTATTTATTTAGATGTGTATGTATTGTATGTATTTACACGTCGTGTTTGAACCATCTGGAAGCCACTCATTTGGTGGATTTCTGGGACACACTCCCAGGGATGCTGAGTTTCCGCGCGAGAATGCGGAGATGCCTTAGGAGAGTCGGCCATGATTTACGGTTGGAGTTCACCGATGTCTCTAGCGCAAGAATAAATCCAAGGATTATCGGAACAGTCATGGATTAATAAATAATGCTTGTCGAAGGATTAATAGATTTACCATGGATTTACTACCCGATTATCTATAAACAAATGGTAAATCCCAGATAGACAAGCAAAAAACTGGTCATTCACCTGCAAAGTCCGGCCTGGGATACCCCAATCTGTCATATCATCATTCCAATGACATCGCCGTGACATCGTTCTCATTCACACAGATGTCAATGTTTTGTTTCAATGGTTCGGAATGGTTTGCTTTGAATTGCAGTTTCGATGATGTTCCATGTTTGGTGCACAGGGTTAAAACATCAAACCATTTTTAAATATCTTGTCTCTGACAACTATAGAACAATGTGATACCGAAGCATATTGGATACATAAAACTGAAATAATAACAATAGTATCATATAATATCAGTAATGTAATGAATAGTATAATATAATACGTAATAATGATAATTCTAGACCATCAACTCATATATGTATAGAGACTTAATGTCACAATAAAACTCTTTTACAACATGACCTTCATAGTGGCAGTGCCTCACTGTCTCATCGAGATACTGATCTCTTGGAATCCGCTGACTGTACTCCTGCACGACAGAACTGGTAAGCTGCGGTGAGTGCGGTTGAGATATGGCTATGAGTCCAAACCCTGGTACTGCGGTACCCTAGGTACCCTGAAATAAATAGATGCCTCATGGATGTTTACCCCAAATATGGCAATGATACGTAGGTTTTGACCCATCCCAAAAAACACATCTTCGGAACAACCATGGGGTTCGGCCAATGAAACATGAGAATCTTGAAAAAACAAAAAAAGGAAAACTGTAAATCCACCTGTACAAGTGTTGACAATATCTGGTTGGTGGTTTTAACCATCTTGAAAAATATGAGGTCAATTGGTTCAGGATTATCCCACATAGGACGGAAAATAAACACTGTTTGAACCCACCAACCAGATATCTCTTGAGACTTTCCATGGAATTTGGAGAATTATCCATGGAAGATGACCCAAAAGATCAACCCATCATTGGTTGGCATCATCAGAAGCATCATTGGAAAATGGCTACCCATAAAGCACCATGGAAGCTGCCTACCAACATGTGAAACGTGTGAAGTGTGCCTCGAGGTAGTCACCCAGCAGCTCCAATCTGTCCTGGGTGCAGCCTTTTTGATTGGTTGTTATAGGGCATTGCATAATAAGAAATATGGTACCATATATATATATATATATATAACCATATATAACCATATATAACCATTAGGAAGGGGAATTGCATTCTCATATATTATATTATATCATATCATACTATATTATATTACATTAATTTAGTTATATTATATCATATCATATTATATTATATTATGTTATGTTATTTTATATTATATCATACTATATTATATTATTGTATTAAGAAATTCCAAGTTAGCCGTTTTGATTGCTTATTGTGAGGGGTATGACCATATTAGGGAAACCTATCCAGCCAACTAGTATTTCTTCATGAGATAGGATTGGGGTGTATTTTCATGGCTCAAGTTTTTTCCTAACCCATCTGCTCCAAACCCGGCCATGAGACGGGGGTTGGAAGACTACATTCCCCTAGAAAGTCATGTTCTCAGGGTCAATCTTAGTTGGGGTGATGACAACAGTGCCACAATCGCTTCGTTCCACTTACGTAGAAGTCGGGATCACCATGAATCGCCACTCTTGCAACACCCCCAGGGCATTTTCCTTGCAAGGCTGAATCTGCCCCTGCAATGATGGACTGCATGCCATTTATAAGCGGAACCCCATGAGCTAATAGTTAAAAGGCACAATCAACTCCAGGCAATCATCCATCTCTAGTCGCTTGCGGGCTCGTATCACTGAACCAACCCAAATTTCAGGTTTATATGTGTGTATATATATGTATATTCATTATACATATGCATATATATATATACACATTACATACCAATACATATCACATATATATATATACATATATATATATAACAAATTACAATCATATAAAATATTAGTGTCTGAGCATAGAGTATCCCGAAACCATGGGGTTATCACCATTCTCCTCATTAATGCTGCCCTTTCGTTGGCTATCAACTGTCTGGCTGTGATCATCCAAATGAAGCGAACAAGGACTTTCCCAGCTACAAGCCACCATCGTGCGCGGATTCTCCAGCTAGCCATGTTTGATTACCGGAGGGTATACCCAAAAATTGAGCCACATGTAGGTAAGTATTCCATACCTGGAGCATGTATACATATGTACATATATATATACATATGTCAGAGTCATGAACCATGTTACAGTATAATATGTTGACGCATCCCCTCCCGGTGCTGACCTTATTTTGAGCCTCGCCTCCGGCCTTGGCGAATCTTAGTGCCGCCGAGGTGCCCCACCAGTGTGCTCCTTGCGACCTGTGTCTGTCACGCCATGAAAGGAAAAGGATTGCCTTGGCTGCGGCAAGGCGCCGAAACAAATGGTCATAGCTGGGATTTTTTTGGGTGAATGAACCCCCCCCAAAAATATGGTGTCAGAGCTTTTGAGTTATACTTAAATCAAAGGATTTATGTTGTTTTGTGATCATATATGACATACGCGATAATATGGCTCTGTGCAGGTCAAATGACGACACACACACAATTGATCAGCATTGGATATGTTCACTATGACTATGACACCATCCATATTGGAGCTTGTGTCATTTTGATCACATTTCCGTATATCCCTATACAATCCTATACATGCATTGTTCAGTTGGGCTAATTGCAGGACTACTTAATCACGGCCTTGAGATTTTCAGACATGGATGATGGATGGTATCACAGTCATGCACCTGCCAAGAGTCTTAACTTGGCGCTGTGTTCAACTTCAACAATGACTAACTATCAAAGGGTTAGGACACAATGTTTTTTTTCCATGAAATAACATATCATTACAGTCTATAGGGGTCTCCTGTAACTTATCCCACCATCCAGTTCTTAGAAATTAGGCTTCAGGGAACCTCAAACCTGCAGCCCTGGAGCTTTCCTGCATGCTAGCCGAGCTGCCCTATACACTTGCCTCAGTTGGACCCGTGCAAAAGTCGTTTCACTTCTGAGTGCCGGATCAAGGAACATTGCCCAATAATATTTTGAAGTAGCTAGCTTCTACCGAAATATGAACCCAAGGTTAATCCTAAATGCCTCAAAAGAGTTTTTGTATTTTGTGGTTCTGTACATTTTGTTTTTCAATTTTCAGGGCTATGAGTCATGATCTGTACATATCAACCTGCCAAAACAATCTGTGTTTTTTTTTTGCAGTGATACAATGAATTTCTTTGCTGCCACGAGCAAGTAAGCCAGGATGGAGGCTGAAGTAGTTCCAACTAGATCTGGGGATAGTTTGACAAGCCGCAACATTGGTTTTCTTTATTTTGTTTGAAATACATGTTGTTTTCTTTACAGATACAACATGATACAAATACATGTTGTTTTTCCTCACCTGCCAGGTGAGGGTTGTTAGATTTTATGTCAGTTGCCTCCTCCTGCCTCGTCCTCCTCCTCCTCCTCCTCCTCTCCTCCTCGTCCTCCTCGTCCTCCTTGTCATCCTTGTCGTCCTTGTCGTCCTCGTCGTCCTCGTCGTCCTCGTCGTCCTCGTCCCACTGCGACCCGCGATCCACAGTGTTCTCTGCCGGACCTCAACCACGACCATCCACGCCCAGTGTTCCCTGCCGGACCTCAACCACGGCCATCCACGCCCAGTGGTCCCTGCCGGACCTCAACCACGGCCATCCACGCCCAGTGTTCCCTGCCGGACCTCCACCGCGAGTATCCATGCCAAGTGTTCCCTGCCGGACCGCATGTAGGAAGATAAAATGTCAGATAGAGTGCCAGAAGATTTGCCAGGTAGAATGCCAGAAAATATGCCAGAAGATATGCCAGATAGATATGCCAGAAGATAGTTCAGAAGATATGCCAGATAGAATGCCAGATAGAATGCCAGATAGAATGCCAGAAGATATGTCAGAATATATGCCAGAAGATATGCCAGATAGAATGCCAGATAGAATGCCAGAAGATATGTCAGATAGAATGCCAGAAGATATGCCAGATAGAATGCCAGAAGATTTGCCAGAAAGGATGCAAGAAGATATGCCAGATAGAATGCCAAATAGAATGTCAGAAGATATGTCAGATAGAATGCCAGAAGATGTGCCAGTAAGAACATGTATAAATGTCATGGTGGGGATCACACGAAGTAAAGTAATTATTCTTGTCGAAGTAAAGACTGTTGGAACTGGATTTCATATCTATGACTATGGAGTTGGCTAACCCTGAATTCCAGTTCCATGGATTGGTCCAACCCCGGCTTTGCAGTTGGAAATCCACTTCTTTGTGACCACAAGTAAAACATAGCAAAACCGTCATCATCATCATCATCATCATCATCATCATCAACATCATCATCAACATAAACATAAACATAAACATAAACATCAACATCATCATAACATCATCCAAGACCCAATAGTAGTACAGTAATAATAATCATCATCATGATCATCACCACCATCATCGTCATATTCATCATCATCGAGAATCATTATATAACCATTATTAACAATCATTAATCATCAATAATACCTATGTTCAAAGCATCATCATTCCTGGGCATTGCTATGAAACCATCCCATCTTGTGTACCCAGCGGAACTCATGCGGGTGCTACTCCCACTGAGGAACGAACATGGAACGACAATTTTGCCGGCGATTAAGACCCCATCAAGCAATTGTTTATTGCAACGCTTTCTAGTATCATCTATAAATCGATATAATCATGTACCATAGACCATGCCCATTACCATCAATGGCTGCGATAGCCCTATCAATCCATATGGTTGTCATCTCAGCCAAGCTGCTAATCTTCCGTTCCAGCAAGTCACGCTTCGCGGCGTGACCTTGCAAAAGGCAACTTTCCCGGATTTTCCCATGAAATCTGAGGGTTCCCCATTGAATCTGTCGACTGGGATGTGTTGACAATATGAAACCGTCTTTGATCTTTGATGATTTTTGTATTAATGTTCTTCACACACATCAACACAATATCCGCTAGAGACTTTCCATCAGCGAAGTTCATCCTATTTGTTCCATATCACGCCCCATCCACATCTAATTGTTGCTAATTTAACATAGCTATTGAACATGGCCCATTGATTTTGTGAGTTTTCCCATGAACAAATGGTGATTTTCCATAGTTTTTTGTAAATGTTTACCAGAGGGTAAACCAGTTAGCCAAAAAAGGTGCATCCAATCAATTACCCTCTGGTAAACATACAAAAAACTATTCAAAATCACCATTTTTCATGGGAAAACTCACGAAATCAATGGGCCATGTTCAATGGGGAAGCCTCAATCATCATCCCCATGGGCCCCATGGGTCCATGAAGATGGTCCATGTCCACAGCAGGTCCAAAAGCTAAGCTCTGCGACGCTCGTGTCTCCAGCTTGAAGACAGCACCACCTGGCAGATTTTCCACGGATTTTCGCGGATTTTCCCACAGCCTAAAAGGTGAAATGGGAAATCCAATGGAAATCCCCCAACGAAATGTTGTTACCGGTTGCTGGGAAGATCATCAGATGGAGGTGGAAAAATGGGATTGCCTACAAATGGGAAGTCATGCGAAAATCACCATTTTTAATAGGTAAACATAGGTACACCATCTATAAATGGGCCATTTTCCATGGCTACGTTAGTCATAACCAGAGGGTAAATAAACCATACACGATTGACCCCCATCTGGTGAAAGCCTACACAAACCATACCCGATTTTGGGATATCTCCGGATCTGTTTCACTAAAGGATCTATTTGGTTGAAACAGTTTGAACCCCCCTGGAACAAACATCATATATAGCCAGGATCCTCCTAAACAGGCTGGAGCATGTATCTCTCTTTTTTTTCAACGAAACGAGTTCTACATCGTCCCGTTTAAACCGTTTGGGTGGTCTGAAAATAGGCTACTTGGAATTGTCCGGATTGACATTGACATTGACATTTTTTGCCATATTTGGGGATAAAATATGATAAAATCCACCAATTTCTGGCCAAACCCATATATCCCATATCATATTGCTGGCTTGATATATCCCATCATATGCCAATGTCATGTGGTTTTCCGGTTTTCCTCAATTCTATGGAAAATATCAATGGGGGATGGTATATCTCATCTCATCATATCCATATTTTATGTTCTATTCTATAATACCCAACCAAGAATGTCAAGGGTTTTTCCAGGTTTCCAACTTGTCCATATCTCTTTTTGGGTGTTGTTATGTGTGGCTTTCCACTATTTTCCGTAAATTAGACAAACAAGTGGAAGTTCCCATTTTAAGAAACCTCCATTTACAGATAAAAATCATCCCAAAAAGCATACATCATAAATGGTGTTCCATTTTTTCTGTCGGTTCAAAAAACCAAACAGTGATAAACAGTGGACACTCCCATTCCCTGCCATCTGGGCCACATGAGCCGATGGCCCGGCGGCAAGGAGGAGCTTTGCCTCGGACGGATTCTTTGGGGACCCTGAGGAGAACATCGCGAAAAATGTAGGAAAAAAACATGGAGAAACCGAGGGAAATGACCTGACAATGGTGTATTTTTTGCCATGTCTATTTTTATTGGAGGCTTATACATATATCTATTTACGTACATGTAAACATTCAAATGACCTAGATGCCACTTCAAAAGGGGCACTACAACCCAAACACAAACGCCAAAGTCGGCAGTTCAATGTTAATTTAGCTCAGTATCTTTTGTGGGATTGAGGACATAACCCATACCAGGTGGTGCCCCATAACTAGATATATAATTCAGTTGGTTTACAGTTTATGGTGATTCGCAACTATACAACTATATAGTGGGTTAAAAAACAAATTTGGAACCAGGGTGCGCCCTGTAATCTCAATTTTCTGCATATCTGTTTCACTTTTGTGATTCTCGATACCGCTTCAAATATCCTGACATATTCAATCATATCTCAATGAAAAATATTGATCAGTCCCACGATGCATAGGGGTATGTGGTAATGGGAATGCTACAAACAAGAAAAGAAAAGAATTGGGGACCATCATTCCAGGTAAGGATGCTCATGCAAAGAACAAAACCACCAACCAGGCAAAGATTTGAAACCATTAGGCACACTATGATCTGGCATGGCAGTAGAAAGTCACAAGTTTGATTATTGGATACACTATGTACCGTATACCGTAAACATGGACGTGGAATAAATTCCCCTCTTCACAGAAAAATCATCTTAATTGGGGAGTTACTAGATAGCCAAGTTGATGAACATGCATAAGTCTAAAAACTCGTTATGACACCGGCTTCAACAGAGAAATTTGATTTTACCCAAAAAATGAAAACAAAAGAAACACAAACACAGAATCAACAACAGGATCACCAAAAAAACAACCTCACAGGAAGAATCACCAGATAGAAAAAGAAAAACAACACCTGGATTAGATTCTCCTCCGTTTTTTTTGTTTTTGTTTTTAGTTGTCTGGATTCTTTTCTCTGTTTGCTCTTGTTTTGATTGTTTTTTAGTTTTTTGGTCCTACATTCTCTGTGCCGTTGAACTAAAAAAACTATCGCAACTATACGGGATAGATAGCTATAGTATTCATGTTTTTTTTTTACAAAATCATACCGGCTGCTTCTCTGTTCGACTCTTCAATCATCCTCGATCCGATCGAGCCACCAATCTTTCCACCAACAGGTCTGAAATGCCATGATCTGGGCACATATACCTCAGGTGGGATCATCATCCCAGGTGTTTTTTTTTTACATCATCTTACTGGTGCTTAGCAGGGAATGAGGGAATGATCCATAATCACTATAGTAATAATCATCCCAGCAACCCCCAGTCCCATCCATTCCCTGCGTTTAACACCAGTAAGTAACAACCTATTCAAAACTGGGAAAGTCAGAGACAAAAATGAAGACCTTGGGAGAATGAGGCGAAATATGGCAGCGAGAAACAACGGTCCGTGTTTCGATAGGACACATGTTCGGATGTTCAACTCCCTACCTGCCTACATCAGCATACTGTGTAATACTGTGTATAGTGCATTACAATTCCGTACCTATCAATCAATCTATCAACAACATGTGCTTGTTGTCATTCGCCTCTTCCGCAGTTCTGGTCCTTCTAAATAATATATATAATCAACCCCGTTATCTTAGAATATCCGTTTTTCCAATTATGCAGTTGAACTCGAACGCAACTCCACTTAGAATATGCCCACATTTGGGTAGAAGCAATCCTGGATATCTGAAGTTCCTAAACTGGAACGTTTCAACAAAAAAACAGGTCCCCCGAAATGATCAATTTCTTTTTATATTGTATTAAAAAAATGAATTTTTCAAGCTCACCGAAGGGTACCCCCCACGACCGGTGTCGGAGAACTATGAAAAAAACTAGTTTGCAATGAAAACTAATGGAATTAGGTGGCATTCCTTCAAAAAATGATGAATATTTTTCACGGGGGACCTATATTCTATGTATGTAGTTTTGCAAGGAATAGGGCCCCCTTCATGAATAATTATTATATAATTATATACGTAATTCCCTTTGGGTAGCAGCAATCCTGGATGTCTGAAGTTCCTAAACTAGAACGTTTTAACAAAAAAACAGGTCCCCCGAAATGATCAATTTCTTTTCATATTGTATTAAAAAAATGAATTTTTCAAGCTCACCGAAGGGTACCCCCCACGACCGGTGTCGGAGAACTATGAAAAAAACTAGTTTGCAATGAAAACTAATGGAATTAGGTGGCATTCCTTCAAAAAATGATGAATATTTTTCACGGGGGACCTATATTCTATGTATGTAGTTTTGCAAGGAATAGGGCCCCCTTCATGAATAATTATTATATAATTATATACGTAATTCCCTTTGGGTAGCGGCAATCCTGGATGTCTGAAGTTCCTAAACTAGAACGTTTTAACAAAAAAACAGGTCCCCCGAAATGATCAATTTCTTTTCATATTGTATTAAAAAATGAATTTTTCAAGCTCACCGAAGGGTACCCCCCACGAACGGTGTCGGAGAACTATGAAAAAAAAAATGTTTGCAATGAAAACTAATGGAATTAGTTGGTGTTCCCAAAAGAATGGTTAACTATTTTCATTGGGGACCAATTTTCTATGTATGTAGTTCTGCAAGGAATGGGGTATCTTCCATGTAAAAGTATAAGGGTATATATCAATATATATCATATACGTAATTCCCTTTGGGGAGCAGCAATCCTGGATATCTGAAGTTCCTAAACTGGAAGGTTTCAACAAAAAAACAGGTCCCCCGAAATGATCAATTTCTTTTTATATTGTATTAAAAAAATGAATTTTTCAAGCTCACCGAAGGGTACCCCCCACGACCGGTGTCGGAGAACTATGAAAAAAACTAGTTTGCAATGAAAACTAATGGAATTAGGTGGCATTCCTTCAAAAAATGATGAATATTTTTCACGGGGTACCTATATTCTATGTATGTAGTTCTGCAAGGAATGGGGTATCTTCCATGTAAAAGTATAAGGGTATATATCAATATATATCATATACGTAATTCCCTTTGGGGAGCAGCAATCCTGGATATCTGAAGTTCCTAAACTGGAACGTTTCAACAAAAAAACAGGTCCCCCGAAATGATCAATTTCTTTTTATATTGTATTAAAAAAATGAATTTTTCAAGCTCACCGAAGGGTACCCCCCACGACCGGTGTCGGAGAACTATGAAAAAAACTAGTTTGCAATGAAAACTAATGGAATTAGGTGGCATTCCTTCAAAAAATGATGAATATTTTTCACGGGGGACCTATATTCTATGTATGTAGTTTTGCAAGGAATAGGGCCCCCTTCATGAATAATTATTATATAATTATATACGTAATTCCCTTTGGGTAGCGGCAATCCTGGATGTCTGAAGTTCCTAAACTAGAACGTTTTAACAAAAAAACAGGTCCCCCGAAATGATCAATTTCTTTTCATATTGTATTAAAAAAATGAGCTTTTCAAGCTCACCGAAGGGTACCCCCCACGAACGGTGTCGGAGAACTATGAAAAAAACTAGTTTGCAATGAAAACTAATGGAATTAGGTGGCATTCCTTCAAAAAATGATGAATATTTTTCACGGGGGACCTATATTCTATGTATGTAGTTTTGCAAGGAATAGGGCCCCCTTCATGAATAATTATTATATAATTATATACGTAATTCCCTTTGGGTAGCGGCAATCCTGGATGTCTGAAGTTCCTAAACTAGAACGTTTTAACAAAAAAACAGGTCCCCCGAAATGATCAATTTCTTTTCATATTGTATTAAAAAATGAATTTTTCAAGCTCACCGAAGGGTACCCCCCACGAACGGTGTCGGAGAACTATGAAAAAAATAATGTTTGCAATGAAAACTAATGGAATTAGTTGGTGTTCCCAAAAGAATGGTTAACTATTTTCATTGGGGACCAATATTCTATGTATGTAGTTCTGCAAGGAATGGGGTATCTTCCATGTAAAAGTATAAGGGTATATATCAATATATATCATATACGTAATTCCCTTTGGGGAGCAGCAATCCTGGATGTCTGAAGTTCCTAAACTAGAACGTTTCAACAAAAAAACAGCTCCCCCGAAATGATCAATTTCTTTTCTTATTGTATCAAAAAAATGAGTTTTTCAAGCTCACCGAAGGGTACCCCCCACGACCGGTGTTGGAGAACTATGAAAAAAACTAGTTTGCAATGAAAACTAATGGAATTAGGTGGCATTCCTTTAAAAAAATGATGAATATTTTCACTGGGGACCTATATTCTACGTATGTAGTTTTGCAAGGAATAGGGCCCCCTTCATGAATAATTATTATATACGTAATTCCCTTTGGGTAGAAGCAATCCTGGATGTCTGAAGTTCCTAAACTAGAAGGTTTCAACAAAAAAACAGCTTCCCCGAAATGATCAATTTCTTTTCATATTGTATTAAAAAAATGAGTTTTTCAAGCTCACCGAAGGGTACCCCCCACGACCGGTGTCGGAGAACTATGAAAAAAACTAGTTTGCAATGAAAACTAATGGAATTAGGTGGCATTCCTTCAAAAAATGATGAATATTTTCACTGGGGACCTATATTCTATGTATGTAGTTTTGCAACGAATAGGGTCCCCTTCATGAATAATTATTATATACGTAATTCCCTTTGGGTAGAAGCAATCCTGGATATCTGAAGTTCCTAAACTGGAACGTTTCAACAAAAAAACAGGTCCCCCGAAATGATCTTTTTTTATATATTGAATTAAAAAAATGATTTTTTCAAGCTCACCGAAGGGTATCCCCCACGACCGGTGTCGGGATTTATGGAAATGTGAAGGATTTATGGAGAAAATGAAGAAACGCATATGGAAAAAGTGAAGAATTTGACTGAAAAGGGAAAATAATTTATATGGAAAAGAATCTGTATGGCAAAATATGGTAAACTGAAGAATTTGTATGGAAACGTGCAGAATTGTTATAGGAAAGTGAAGAATTTATATGGAAAAATCATGAATTTGTCTGGAAACATGAAATAAGTTATATGGAAAAAATATGGAAAAGTGAAGAATTTGTATAGAAATGTGAAGGATTTATTAAGAAATATATATATATATGTGGAAAAATGATGAATTTGACTGAACAAGTGAAAGAATTTGTATGGCAAAAATATGGAAAAGTGAAGAATTTGTATGGAAACGTGAAGGATTTATAAAGAAAAGTGAAGAACTTCTATGGAAAAATGACGAATTCGTCTGGAAAAGTGAAAGAATTTATATGGCCCAACGATATTCTAAGTATAGGTTTTTTAACGTCAACTGTATTCTAAGTAACTGTTTTCAAGTTCAATTATGGGGATGCCCTGGGAAGCCAAAATTTCAATTCTATATTCTAAGATAACGGGGTAGATTATATATATATATATATAGATCCAATACGTTTTTTCTTGGGGGTATGGCATCAAATGGTCGACCGGTCTATCAATGGTTTATAGATATAGCCAGCAAAAATGAAGTGGGCAGACCCATGGCCCGAGGCACTTCTGCAATGTGCCTGCTTCGCCGCTCAATGGAGCTGCGGCAAGGTCTCGGTTGTCCGGTGAAAAAAGGGAGTAGCTTCTGAACGATGGATTACCAAAAGGGTTCACACGGACAAAAAAAATCGGTCTTTAATGATTGTCAAGTTTTGACATTCGGATTTTAGTTTTTAAAATTCATTGAATTTTGTTGCCTCTGCAAGATAGACCCCGTTGGATCTCCTAATTGCTCTGCTTCGTCGAAGCCCTTCGTGTCAGGTCTGCTTGACCGGAAGCTCCCCGGGAAGCCACTGGAAGGTTGAATCCATCATCGCGTAGCGAAGGTTTTTCAGGCTACAGGAAAACCATTGTTTTTACCCTCTGGTAAACTAACATAGCTATGGAAAATCACCATTTATAGTGGATTTTCCCATGAAAAATGGTGATTTTCCATAGCTATGTTAAATTACCAGAGGGTAGAAGCTTTCCCATGAAGTATGAAAGGGGCTCAACCACACGTGTTTCCATCATTCACCACCCATTGATTGGATGCTTCAATCAGCATTCACAATATTCACCAGCTGCAAAACTGTATCACAATCCCATCCTCACCCAAAGACTGTGGGTGCATCCCACTTAGTAAGTGGCTGAGAACATCTAATAACCCATCTACTTTTGTTCTCAGATTTGGGCTCCCCTGAAACTAGGGTACCCCCGCATCCAGTTGTTGATCACTATCATGCATTGGCTCACCCTATTCTCAGTGAAACCCACATTATACAGGTAATTATATAATATGTGTTTATACATATATATATATATATGTATATGTATATTAACATGTGTAATTATGTGTATGTCCACATGGCGTTAATAAACCCCCCCACAATAAAGTACGCTAACTCCCGGGAAAAATTAATAAACCCCCCCCGTAATAAAGTACGCCAACTTGTTTTTCCCATTTTTTTTCCGTTTTTTTTCCCTTTAGTATTCGTTTTCAATCAGGCAATTCATTTGTGAATACTAAAGTTGTTTTTTCCGTTTTTTTTCCCTTTTCAATTAGGCAATTCATTTGTGAATACTAAAGTGTTTTTTCCGTTTTTTTTTTCCGTTTTTTTCCCTTCGTTTTCACTTAGGCAATTCATTTGTGAATACTAAAGTTTTTTTCCCGTTTTTTTCCCTCAAATGGCCGATTTCCTTACTAAACCCTCTCGAAAAATGCAAAAAAAACAATCGTGCAAAGGGGGTGGACCTGGAGACCCCTGACATCAAAATAATAATGTATGTTTACACACCCCTAAATAAAGTATTTGGATTTCAGGGGTCTAATCAATTTTTTGGTGGTTGAAATTGTTTCTCAATTCCTTTCCTATTTGAACCCTCTCTCAAACCCTTTCTGAAGCCCTCAAGACTCTTTGAGCTGGAAGCAGTACACTCCAAACTCCAAATCTTGCCTGAAAAGTTCTGGAGTTGAAAAAAAAACAACACGGCTCAAATGGTCGGTTTCCTTACTAAACCCTCTCGAAAAATGCAAAAAAGCAATCGTGCAAAGGGGGTGACCCTGAAGACCCCAAACATCAAAATAATAATGTATGTTTGCACACCCCTAAATAAAGTATTGGATTTCAGGGTTCTAATAAAATTTTTGATGGTTGAATACTAAAGTTCCAAGAAAGTTCACTTTATGTATTCGTTTTAGATTAGGCAATTCATTTGTGAATGCTAAAGTTCCAAGAAAGTTCACTTTATGTATTTGTTTTCAATTAGGCAATTCATTTGTGAATACTAAAGTTCCAAGAAAGTTCACTTTATGTATTCGTTTTCAATTAGGCAATTCATTTGTGAATACTAAAGTTCCAAGAAAGTTCACTTTATGTATTCGTTTTCAATTAGGCAATTCATTTGTGAATACTAAAGTTCCAAGAAAGTTCACCTTCTGTATTCGTGTTCAATTAGGCAAGTCATTTGTGAATACTAAGTTCCAAGAAAGTTCACCGTATGTATTCGTTTTCAATTAGGCAATTCATTTGTGAATACTAAAGTTCCAAGAAAGTTCACTTTATGTATGCGTTTTCAATTAGGCAATTCATTTGTGAATACTAAAGTTCCAAGAAAGTTCACTTTATGTATTCGTTTTCAATTAGGCAATTTGTTCGGCGCCACATTGGTCTGAAAATTTTCCAGGAACCCTAGTGAATGTTTGGCCTAAACTTTATTTTGATGCTCTTAATGTTTGGGGGGGAGGGGGGGTTATTAATACCATGTTGACATTAAATATATATATATAAATAAATAAAGACATACATATATATATATATATTATATGTAAACTATGTAAACACATACAGATAATGTATATATATATATATACGTACTACATTGTACTACTGTATATATATATGGTCCCGAGTCAAAATTGTGTATGGAACGTTCCGCGGTGTTCCGGACGTATGGAACGAAGGGGCTTCGTAACTGGTCTTGTTCCGGACCTTTGGAGTGTGATGAAATATAGGCTATACATAAATAAATAAATATATATATATACACATTATATGTAACATATATAATATACATCTCAAGGATATGCACGTTGAAGCTACTCCTCATCTGCACGACGTTCTTGTTGTACAGCTGTTCAACGCAGGTTTGCCTTGCATGGCTAGTGCTCGTGCACTAGATACGACGCGACCGGTAGCCAGTGTCACCCACTGGCTACCATGTGAAGCTGTCGACTCAGCTTCAGACCTATCACTTAGGTCTCACCTCCTACTCTTAAAACTCAGACGTCCCTATGGGGTAGATTGTGTCCCTGCATAGCAAGACTCTACGCTCCCATAACCCACGCGCAAAGGATGGCTTACGAGCAGTCTATGTGAGAACCTGCCATGTGTTCACCAGTGGGTCAGGGGTGGTACATGGGTGGTCCAGGTCTGGAACGGGTATGTAGTATGGAACGGTATGGAACGGGGTCTGGAACGAAACGGCCCACTCCAGCACAGCACTGCCACCACGCAGCACATCTTTATCAAAATTCGCAGTTTGGAGCGAGAATAGCGCAGCAAGCAATTCTTAGACTGCCAGCTGGCAGCAGCCAAGCGCATCCCTACAATCAAACACCACAGCTGTGCCACAGCCTGTAGCAACTTTAAGTGGTGCAGGCACAAACCTGCCACAGGTTGAGAGGGAGGGAGGGTTATAAGCAATCCATTCTTAGACTGCCAGCTGGCAGCAGCCAAGCACATCCCTACCATCACACAACAAAGTAGGTAGCAGCTGTAAGTGCTGCAGGCACAGACTTGCCAACACAATCACAGGGCTTGGGCATAGTAAACGTATTCTTGCATGTATGCACTCATGTATGTACGTGCGCTCATATATGTGCGTAGAAATGTAAAATCAGATTGCACATAATCAAATATATATATATATGTAATTGTAAATATATACATGTATACTGTATATATAAATAATAATTATATATAATGATATATAATAACGTATGGATCAGAGGTATGGAACAGAGGTATGGAACGGATCCTTCAAGGAGGTATGGAACGGGGGTATGGAACGGGTGTGGTCCCGGAGCTTGCCCCCATATGTATATATAGGTCATGTCCTTTAGTTATCGTTGCTGGGAGCGCGGCTAAAAAGCGACTCCGCGGCGTCTTTCGACGCCTTGGAGGCACGGCCGTCCAGCTGCACGCGGCGCGCCAGTGCCATGTTGCGAAGGCCTGGCGATGTAGCGGTAGAATCAGATTAATTAAGTATATTTATGTATACCCATAGGATCCATGTATGCTATATATGGTAACATTTACCATCGATATACCCCAATGTTAGCATATATGCCATACAGGGATCCTATGGGTATATGATAAATGATATAATATATAGATATGATATTATATGATCATATAATATGTATATTAATATATAATTGTATACATTTGTATAGATGCATAGTTCCAAATAAAAGCAACCAAGCTTTGGGAACTAGGCGGCAGCGCAGCGTCTTCGCCAAGGGGCTCAGCATCAGAGTGTTGGTTTCCCCTTGAGAAAGGCCCACGTTTAGCACACCGTCCTGAGGATGTGGCGCTTCCAGAAGGAGACAAAAAAACACACCTGGTTTGCAACTAAAAAAACACAGAAGAGTAGGACACCTGGAAATGATGCGGCGTCATTGAACTACCATTCTGGAAATCCTTTTTGGGCCTCATTGTGTAGGTTCCTACAGTATTATAATGTATTATATATGATCCTCCAAAAGGTCATGGACTCAACGTAAACAGCAAGATTTCTTGTCGATATTAGTGAGAAAAAAAGGGTTCCGGAAGCATTTCCTCATGTTTCCTCATTTTAGTATTGAAACATCTGGGGATCCCCCTGACTTAAGAAACCCCCAAATGACTATCGGACTATCGAGTACTGCTGTCATTACCAAGAACCACACGAAGAAATTGATGGACGAAACAAAATCGTCCGAAGTCTGGTTTCTGAGATGTTTTGCACACAACTGAGACAGGGGAAACATTGGCTTTAGCTAGTTCAATCCATTGAACTTTACTTAAAACACCCAATTCAGCTGATTCTATCCAGTAGACAGGCTTCTTGAGATGTTCTACTATACACAATATCCTGCTCGATAGATCAATCAGTACCTAAGCACAAATAGTATCAAAAAGTGATGTGTTCCCCTTCAAACACAGAAATAGAAGGACCTTTTTTGGCGCTTAAAAAAGTCAAAGTTACATGTTTGCTGCTGAAATACAACGTATATTCAACCCATGCTTGATTAGAATCATCTTTGCTGCTTCGATCCAGAAACGAACACCATGAAAACACTAATCCCTATTGAAGCCATCCATTTTTGGGGATCCAAATCCCCGAAGTTTGCACGGGCATCGAACTCGATGGACAGATTTTCCATGTTCCAGACTTAAATTCTGGCCAAAAAAATCCGTTACCCTTTGGCAATTCAACATGGCCATGGTATAAATGGCCCATGAACACAGTAATTAGAACTGATTGACCTACCTTAAAGCCATGGTCATTTTCCATAGTTTGGTGAAGTTACCAGAAGGTATCATTATATCTAATTATAATCTTACACACAGACCCCGAGGTTTGCCCAAGCCCAGTATAGCGTATATACCAGCGAATTCTGTACGACATCAAACAAACAACGGGAAGGATTTTATGTTTAATTATGTTGCTAGGGTGTTAGCTAGATCATGTTGCTTCTACATATCATATAACCAGAACATGTCGCTTCTACATATCATATGGAATTAATCATGGAATCAATAAGGTTTCTTATAGGGTTTCAAGAAGATATCAAACTCCCCCGGCCCCATGGAACAATTAACCATACAGTCATTAGGGTTTCTTATAGGGTTTCAGGGAGATATCAAAGTCCCCGGGCCCCATGGAACAATTAACCATACAGTCATTAGGGTTTCTATTATAGGGTTTCAAGAAGATATCAAAGTCCCCAGGCCCATGGAACAATTGACCATACAGTCACGAGAGTTTCCTATAAGGTTTCAAGAAGATATCAACATCATCATTGTCATCGTCATCGTCATCGTCATCGTCATCAAAATCATCATCATCATCATCATCATCATCACCATCATCACCATCATCATCATCATCGTCATCATCATCGTCATCATCATCATCATCATAATCATCATCATCATCATCTTCATCATCTTCATCTTGGCTTGCCCGGACGCTTGTTGCGAGTCCGGGCAAACCTCAGGGTCTTGCCGAGTCTTGCCGTAATCTTATAGCCCATTATACAATATCATTATCCCATGATAATAATAGGGGTATCATCTTATATCCCATTATACCATATATAACCAAAGTTAACCCATTGTTATACCATTATTATCCCATTATTGTCCTATTATTATCCCATTATTATACCCCCAAATCCCAGAGTTACCAGTACCGGTAACTCAAACAACAAGGTGTCAACACCGTTGGCGTCCAGGACTCCACATCCACGAAGATCAGGGTCTGAGTTGACATCGCTGCGGCCGCGACGACTTATTCTTAAGAGTCACGCGCAGAGGCCTCGGTGAAACTCGTGGTGGGAAGGGACTGTTGTTTAATTAAAGGAATCATGTTACTCCTACACTCCTATGAACTACTTAAAGAAAAATATTACTTCAACTTATTCTTGGAAGTAAAGTTCATGTGAATGATCAAGTTGAGAATTGTATATACTACTCTATATATATGATATAATATAATATTGACAATAACCGTTTGCATTTCAAGGCAACAAAACAAATGGGTGGGTCACAAGTTCATGGGCAAATGCTGCATGTTCTTCGTCCAAACTCCAATGTGCTCATCGTTCTGAGATTCGAGACGCCATCACGTGCTTCCCCGGGTTTATGGGTTTCCCAGCATGTCTGTGAACAAATGGGTTTGCCACACTATATGCCATAACATCTCATTTGGGTGGATCTGAAAACGGAGGGGATACCAATGGATATGTCAATTTAATGGGGCACATGATAATAATATATAATAATCATCATAAATGATATTATAATATATTTTTAATCATTAATCATCCATGTGATTTTGGGGTACGTCATTTTGAACCAAAGCCATTTATCTGGTACGTTCATCTCCCAACGTCACAGACCACCAGTCATCACTTGGCCCCCAGAAACTGCGGCTTGGGAACAGCAATTTTTTCTGACTCGTTCCAAGAGGGACGGTTTTGTTTGAGCAAAAAGTCTCATGGATCATCAATGAAAAACACATGAACAAGAACATCCATAGGATCCATGTATGGTATATATGCTAACATAAAGGAGGTATATTGATGGTAAATGTTACCATATATAGCATACATGGATCCTATGGGACATGGATAATCAATAAAAGAAGATGCCTTTGGATTGCCATCATGAGTCATCAATTTTTCACGGTGTTCGAACATGTTCAAAGTCATGGATTGCGATCATCCCCCAAGATATAGTACAGACTGACTAGTAACACCACCAGTTGTAACCAATCAACCGGTGGTTTGGTCACTGTTCCAATGAATCCAAAACACCACAAGTTTGTTCTGGCCCACTTCCCTGTAATTTATAGCAAACATGATGTGGAGAACAGCAAGCAGGTTTCCTGTGTCGAAGTTTAAACCGTGGTAGTTGTGATCCAACATATTTCCCAATAATCCAGCATAATTATATGTTAAGTTTCTTTGCCATTGAGATGGATATGGATATTGAAGAAATCGTTGGATGAGTTTAAGGAACTCATTACACGGAACTCTCATGTTTGATGTGACATATCTACTTTACCATCAAATTTCCCGTAAATCGTCCCAATGATGACATCGATTGTTCCCAACTGCCGCTCCCTTTGGAGAAACCGATGGCAGCGAGGCGTCGATTGGTTTTCAAAGGCTGGTGCTCCGAAACAGACTCCAGAGCCACCGCCGAAAATCCGCGAGCTGGTGGGAGATCTTTCTCAGATTCACAGTGTCCACCAGATGGGGCCAAACTTTGGTGAAATATCCCATTCGATATCCATTGATATATCCCATTGAACCCAAGGATGTTTTACTAAATGTATTCATAACATGTATTTTTTGGAACCTTTCAGAAGGACATAAAGGGCCAAAGTACTGGGTATCCCAAGCTTGACCCCCGCAACGCAGCACGGCGCTGAAAAAAAAAGGGCCGGTTGGGTATCCACACCGCAATGAGTTTCCGCGTGATTTCATCAATTGTCATCCGTCCTTTCCATCGGAAATGTCCATTTTTTTCGGGCAAATGAGCCCCGTTGATGAGAGTTGCTCAGAATGGATGTTGTTACAACAGACAACATCTGGTGGTTTCCTGAAATAGGGGTACCATAAATCATCCATTGTCATGGAATTTTCCATGATAAACAAGTGGGGGTACCCCCATTTCCATACTGAGACCCCAAAGTGAAGATATTTTCACTTCAGGCACTTAATGAAAATATTAGTAGTTGTTTGAACTCATCATAGAACTGATTTTTACTTATTTTTACTTATTTTATCTTATTTTTTAAATATATTTTTGAAGGTTCAGAATTAATTTTCTGAATTTTCAGATTTTTTTAATGTATGTATATTATATTTCTGAATTTTCTGTTTTTTCTGATTTTTTTGAATTTTCTACATTTTCTGAATTTTCTAAATTTTCTGAATTTTATGAATTTTCTGATTGTTTTTTGAATTTTGTGAATTTTGTGAATTTTCTAAATGTTCTAAAAAAAATATGAATTTTCTGAATTTCTCAATTTTCTAAATTTTCTGAATTTTCTGGGGAGGCCAGAATTTTCTGAATTTTCTGAATTATTTATATTTAAATACATATACAGTCACCGACAGAATTATGGAAAAAAAAAACGTTTCAATTTACAGGCGCCGCCTGTCTATGATAGAAAAGTTACGAACCTTTTTTTTTCTCCATAATTATTTTTTCCATAATTATTTTTTTCCATAATTCTGTCGGTGACTGTATGTCCATCGATTCGCAATTTGAATGCATTTTAAGGGGGAATATTGAATTATAGAAAATATGTGTCTAAAGATCTGGTATATGCCCCTAAGTCTTCCATAGTGGTACCAACAAAGGAAAAACAATTGCACCACCAAAACTCATTGTTGTACGTACATACATATGCGGGATGTATCCTTTTGCCAAGCCACCAATTGGGTTGATACTACATACTTGCATTTGCATACATATTTCCATAACCCCCCAAAAAAAGGGGTTTGAATTGTGGATCCATGACATGTCCAACAGGTGGAGCCCCAAACATTAATTATGGAAAAAATAATTATGGAAAAAATAATTATGGAAAAAATAATTATGGAAAAACCGGTCAATCTGCCATAGCCCCCTGATTTTACAGGAAAAAACAATTATGGAAATAATGGCCACCTCCAAGAATTATGGAAAAAAAAAAGGTTCGGATCACTTCCGGGATATTTTGAACCCTTATGGGGAAACACCTAATTATGGAAAAATCGGACGCAGGCGCCGCCTGTCTAAGTTGAACGTTTTTTTTTCCATAATTCTGTCGGTGACCATATATATATATATAATTCTGAATTTTCTGATTTTTCTGGGGTGGCCAGAATTTTTCTGAATTTTCTGGTGGGCCGTATTTTTATGAATTTTCTGGGGGGGGGGGCAACATTTTCTGAATTTTCTGGAGGAGCCAGAATTTTCTGAATTTTCTGGGGGGGCCAGATTTTTGAATTTTTTGAATTTTCTGAATTTTCCGAATTTTCTGGATTTTCTGATTTTTTTGAATTTTCTGAATGTTCCGAATTTTCTGATTTTTCTGAAATTTTCTGAATTTTTCGAATTTTATAAATTTTCTAAGGTTTCTGAATTTTCAGAAAATTTTCTTAGAAATCGACATACATGTCTGTTACTTCTTAGAAATGAAAAAACTATTGTCACTTATTTTGACTTATTTTAACTTATTTTAACTTCTTTTCACTTATTTTCACTTATTTTTGAATAGTATTCAACTATATTTGATTGTATGTTCATTAGTATGTTATAAGTTCACCTAAACGATAAGTGGAACTTAAAACTGAATAATTTAAAAAATACAATTTAAACAGGATATTAGCAGGATAATAGCAACTTATCAGATACTTATAAATTCATTAAGTGCCTGAAGTAATAATATCTTCACTTTGGGGTCTCAGTAGTCTCCACGATCCCCACGGTGGGATGAAGCCATGACTGGGACCCGGTCGTAACCATGGGTGAATATGAACGGGGGATAGGATTGGTTGGCGGCTGTTCCAAACTCTTGAATCATTTCGGAAAAACAATATATATATATATGATAGAATCTATATGTCAAAAATAACACATCTATTTCATACCACTCATAAATCCCAAAGCAGCATTCTAATGCTAGGCTTCCATGGTGTTTGGTCAGCCTGTCAGATCCACAGTGGGCCCTCTGGTTATGACTAACATAGCCATGGCATAGATGGCCCATTTGTAGATGGATGTAGATGGTTTACCTATTAATTCCATGGTGATTTTCCATGGGGAACTGTTAAATAACCAGATGGTAGATGGAATTTTCCCAATTCAAACCTCCATTTATCGAGGATTTCCACTTGCCATGTTTGATTATACTGGAGGTATGCCATTCTTTGAACGCTTGTCAAAAGCTCCAAATGCTCGTTTCAAAAACGATGCACATTATCATAAAGGGTGCCAATGGAATCCAAAGAGGGGTATATTTCACAGCTGCAACGGTCACTGAAAACCCTATGAATTTAGTGTTTTATGCCCCGCGTCTGCTTCAGCATCCAGTCACTTTACACTTGGGTTTGCCATATTTGGTTTTGTCTAAAAATATGAAACACCGAAATACCGAGAAAAAAAACAGTTCAAACATGTGGACAACCATTATCAACTATAAATTAGTATTTTTTCATGTTTTTTCTGCCCAAGATATTCAAACAAAACCATCTAATCTCCATGCATGGTGAAAACGGCTATGAAATCACTGCTCAGTGCTCCGCGGCAAGAGAATTCGGCGTCGTCGCGCGTGAAAACTGCTGCTGGGCGGTCAAAATTCCACCGGCCGTCAGGCTATTGGAAAAAGCGCATGATTTGAATTTACCGGCTCTAATTTGGGTATGTTTGATATGCATTGATATGTGCTTAAGTTGCGATCATGCATCTGGGACCAGGCGGGAATGACATAAGTATCTGTATGTAAGACCTCGGCCATTTACAATAAATGTACAGCTTGTGCACTCTCTGCGACTGGCAAAGAAGTAGCAGCGGGGCGAGTGCACCGATGTTCACCAAACCTTGGAAATGCTGCATCTTGTCGTCTCTTTCACAAGGTGGCAACAAATTCACACTGCATGTTCGATGCATGTTGATTTCTGTGTCAGTGAATGTCAGTGCTTTGATGCATAAACAAATGATAATCGACTCCAGTTTTCTACACAGTGCACCTGACATCCGGTTGGAAATTCCGCATGCGCACACTGTCACTGCCGATACAAAATTCTAAAAAATCTAATATGAAATATGATGGCCTGTCCTGGACGAAAGGCCGCAAGCACACTGTTCTGCAATGGCAAAGTGACATCCTGAGTCATCCTGCAGCATTGGCCTCCTAAGTTCAATCTTGTCGAGGAGATGCTGATGTCACCATGCCAAATACGGTATCTTTGCATCAGGTTACCTTTCAAATCAAGCGAATGAAAGTGTGGGCAACTCAGAAAACAATCAGACCAGCCCACATAATGTGAACATATCTAAAGTTAGTCCCATATTCAAACGCCATATATTATCCTTGAATCTAATGAGTGTTGCACACATCTTTCACCCATCTCCAAGCAACGACTGGGAAAATTTGTCGCTGGACGATAGGGAAGCTGTACGAATTGACCCTCGGCCAGTTGCCGAGAGAGAGTCGTGAGACATGCACAACGTGCATGAGTTGCTACTGAAACCTCTGCGGCGCAAAGCTTGCTTTAGATGGCCTTTAGCTGCCATAAGCAGCATATCCATCAGTCAACTAGTCCATAAAATGCTGGGAGACCTCAGTCTGATTGTTCTCCAAAGGTCCCATGTACCATCAGTTGATATCGCAGTTCATCCGCGAGGTAGATCTTAAGATTTTGGACGATGTCGCACGTGTTTTTCACCTTCTACTTGGTGGTCATGGGTTCAAACGATCATG